GCGATTCACCAGCATTAATGTTTTGCCCAGTATTAATTAAGTTTTCTGGGGGACTTTGTGTGTCCATACTGTTCAGAGTTTTTTCCTACACCTGGGAAGACTTGTATTTGGATTCTGGTGGAGATTACTGTTCAAATTACATACTGACTTGATAGCCGTTTTCACAATATTAATTCTTGCCATCATAAGTATGGCACAGTTTTTAGCCTTCTAGTATCTTCTATGTTGTTAGTTTAGTGACCATGAATGACTTTTGCCAGTTTCTACAATGGAAAGGTTTTCTTTCTGCTTCAGTTATGGCAGAGTCTTGCTAGCTACAGTTCAATAGGTCACAAGTTGTCTTCCAGAGTATGAAATATATTATTCCTATCCCACCAGAATTTTCAATTTTATGTTCTTCTTATGGGTTTCCCATTATATACCACATGGTATTACTCTCTTGCATCTTTCAATGTCACATGTTTCATATAGTTAGTATTTTGAATATATGGTTACCTGGGGAGAAATTTCATTGCAGTTATCACTTTGATATTCATAGTAATAAATACCTCCTCTGCATAAACTGGTATATCTTCCCCAAGATTTGAGACAATTTGTTATGAGTTTATTGAAAATGCATTTAGAACAGAATTCTTGCCTCTTTTCCATGCTCATGATTTATAGAGTTGGGGTCTTAGTTTGGTTTCTATTGGTGTGATAAAGACCATGACTGCACTGGCTAGTTTTTTTGTCAACTTGAAACAAGCTAAAGATATCTGAAATGAGGGAACCTCATTTAAAAAAGTGCTTCCATGTTTAGTTATTCAAACATCCTTCCTTTTGGCATATTGTTAATGAATGTGCTGAATTCATTTATGTCTTCAAAATATTAAAAATCAATTAAAACATTGATTCCAAGAAAGCAAAAGAAAGAAAATGCCTCCATAAGATCAGGCTGTAGACAAGCTGTACGGCATTTTCTTCACTAGTGATGGATGGAGGAGTGCACAGCCCACTGTGGATAGGGCCATGCCTGGGCTGGTAGTCCTGCAATTTACTAGAGAGCAGACTGAGCAATATATGAGGAGCAAGCCAGTAAGTAGCACTCCTCTGCAGCCTCTGCTTCAGCTCCTGCTTCCAGGTTCCTTCCCTGACTTCCTTCAATGATGGACTATGATGTGGAAGTGTGAGCCAAATAATCCCTTTCCACTCTGACCTGCTTTTAGTCATGGTTCA